AGGGCCACAACAGGGAGGGGCCGGGGTACGGCAAAAAAAAAAAAAAAAAAAAAAAAAAAAAAAGTAGACCGCATTTACCTCTCCACCCAGAGGGTTTGTTCTGGCGGTGCCTGCTGTTGCAGATGTCCTGGATGTTCTGGACCACACTTGACCTCAGCCCGTGCTCCCTCATGATGGCCAGCACCTTTCTGTCCATCAGGTTATGGGACCGGAAGCAGTTGGCATAACCACAGTTCCCTCGGGTAAAGTGTTCACAAACGTGGAGCCTTTCACACGGTGGCTGCTGGTTACAGGTCTGTCTTCCACCCTCTCCCTTATAATTTTTGCATATCTACAGAACGAAGAGACAATAGCCAGAGATAAAACATGTTTCTCTATGTGCCACACATTAAGGAAAGTTTATATAAAAATTTCAGCTGTAATGACCTATATGGGAACAGAATCTAAAAGAGTGGATATATGTATATGTATAACTGATTCACTTTGCTGTACAGCAGAAACTAACACAACAGTGTAAATCAACTATACTCCGATAAAAAATAAATAAATAATAAAAACGCAGCTTTTCTTACTTCCTGATAAGAAAAAAAAATCAGGGGCTTCTCTGGTGGCACAGTGGTTGGGAGTCCGCCTGCCGATGCAGGGGACACGGGTTCGTGCCCCGGTCCAGGAAGATCCCACATGCCGTGGAGCGGCTGGGCCTGTGAGCCTTGGCCGCTGAGCTTGCGCGTCCAGAGACTGTGCTCCGCAACGGGAGAGGCCACAACAGTGAGAGGCCCATGTACCAAAAAAAAAAAAAAAAAAATCTGAAGCAAGCAGAGATAATATCAAAGGAAAAAAATGCATGTGTATTCCACAATCTTTGATGAGTTCTATTCGATCGATGACTTATTTGCGGCAGAAGAGGCCTACAAACTAACTGAAAGAAACTTGAATTTGATTAACCTCCTTTGGAAGAATCAACATAAGACGGCTAGCTACAGATGGAACCAAACAGGACCCAAAGGGAGCCCTACATTATAAAGGAACCCCAAAGAGGAAGGCCTGTCTTTGGATATCAATTCATTGTTCTATTAAAAGGACATGTGGAGGGACTTCCATGGCGGTCCAGTGTTTAAGACTCCACACGGTTTGGTCCCTGGTTGGGGAACTAAGATCCCGCATGCCGTGCAGTGCAGCCAAAAAAAAGGATATGTGGGGACTTCTCTGGTGGCACAGTGGTTAAGGCTCCGTGCTCCCAATGCAGGGGCCCCAGGTTCAATCCCTGGTCAGGGAACTAGATCCCGCACGCATGCCACAAGTAAGAGTTAGCATGCCACAACTAGGGAGCCAGTGTGCCACAACTAAGGAGCCTGCGAGCCACAACTGAGGAGCCCACATGCTGCAACTAAGGAGCCCACCAGCTGCAACTAAGACCCAGTGCAACCAAACTAATTAATTAGTTAATTAATTTTTCAAAAGAGGACATGTGGGTCTTACCTACAACTGCTGGGAGTCTAGAATCTAGTCTCAGCTAGGCAGAATGTCAGTTTCTCAAAAGATCAACTGAAGCAGATAATTTGTATATTCCTATGTAAATAGGTATACCTACATATCTAGCTCTACAGAGATATAGTTCTTACTGAAAGGAGAGCAGAAGGAACACTGTCACTGAGGCCAGACCAGGTGATGCAGGACTAGAAGATGCTGGTTGAAGTCTGCAGCCCTGGAAGCAGCTACATGTGACCTCACATCTGAATTACTTACTTGCTCCCAGCCTCTCTTTCCTTTGCTGTAAAGAAGGAAAATATTTGCTCTCCTCACCTAAACAAGTTGTTGAGCAGATTAAATAATAAAATACATAAATGTGTTGTGCAAAATATGAAATGTGATGCAAATGTTTGAATCATTACATGAAGAAGCTTAAAGATGAAAATGTTTATAAGTTGTTTCAATAGACTCCGAGCAAACCAGGTCAACATGGGCCACTATGATGTATCCAAGTGGCAAAGACATGGATTCAGACTCTAACAACAATGACTTAAGCCATATAAACAACTTCTAAACCTGATGCAAATAGATATCATTGCGATAGAGCCTATGATCCAGATTCAAGACTCTAGACCAACAGTTCTCAAAGTGTGGTCCCTGCACAAGCAACATCGGCTCCAACTGGAAACTTATTAGAAATACAACTCCTTGGGCCCTTCCCCATAACTACAGAGTCAGAATGGCCAGAGGTAGGGCCCAGCAATCTGGGTTTGACAAACCCTCCAGGTGATTCTGACACACATTTAAAGCTTGAGAACCAGTGTTCTAGAGGCTTGAGTGAAACAAGAATAATTAGTAACTTCACAAATGATACTTTGGTTAACATTCCTAGTTCTATGCTGATGTTTAAGTAAGAATGCTCCTGCCAAAACAAATGAAATCATTTCTTCCTTTTCATAAATACATCTCAATTACACAAGTTTCTATACGAGGACGTCAGATTTGCCTGATGCTTTTATGTTCTCGCAGGTCAAGGCAAAATGGAAGGGTGTGAACATTTTAAGTTTTTGAGGGCAGGCAGTGTGTCTTGTCCACTGCCGCCTTCAGAAGCCTGCCCTTGTAGGAACTCCTGAGTGTTAGTTGAATGAATGCAAAACAAACAATAAGTAAAGTGAGACGCAGAAGGATGAAATGCCTTGTCCAAGACCACAGAGGTGGTTAGTGGCAGAGTCAGGACTTTGAGAGACATGGAAGGACCATCGTTGACCGACTATCCTTGGAACTAGCTGAACTCTGGCTGAGCCCCTCCTGCTAAAACCTTGAAAATACTCTGCCCTACTCACCCAAGTTAAAACACTCCTTGAGAGACTACTCTTGCCCCAAATTGTCAAATAGAGACTTATGTTATTGATGCTTTGGTCGATTTTCCACTACAGGAACCAGCGCCTCAGACCTCTGGTTCAGGAAACAGTGCAGTCTGCTAGTCTGTGATCCTACCCCTGACAAGTGGTAAATGGCAATTAAGTTATTGGCTAAAAATAAACTTCAAGCACAAGACTTCCCACCCCACCCACTAAGCACAGGTACTGAATTCTTAAAAGGGAAAGGGAACCTCAGATGACACTTCAGACTCTCTGTGTGATAAAGGATGACAGTGGCATTTTCCTACGAGGACCCTCCCAGCTCTTTTGTCAATGGGCTTTTCTGGGATCCATCAGCATCACCACCTTCTAGTAGGTTCTTCCCTAGAGAAAGGAAGAGCTGTCACTCCCCTTATTCTCCAAGGACGTGATACAGAAAGTCCTTGATGATTTTGGAGAACAGAAGCAGACAGCAAACCTGATGAGTGACCTTTCCAAACTTCCAAGTTTAACACTAGACTAAGGTTGGACCCCAGGGACACTCCTCTCAAGGGTCATAACAAGACTTCACCTGTCGTCATCCCTTCACGTGAAAGGAAAAGGACGGGGTGGGTCTGTTAGTCAACGGGACCTTTAATGAGTTGGTGTGTAAGGCGTCTCCCCATGCTGGTAGCCAGGAGGGAATGAGCTGGCACACAGGCCAAGGGCCATAGGGATCCCAAGACAAGACCTCTAAACCTAGGCTCCTGGAAACGGAGAGAGAGAGAGAGAGAGAGAAATCCAAGTACCTAAATGAAAGAATGCCTGCGGAAATGGCATATATAGTCCTCCTCCACTCTCTCCATCTCTGAAGACATTTTTACAGACTGCCTTGCATTCCTATCTCTCTTGAGCTCAGTGATCAACTCAAAATCACCCCTCACGTTCTAAGGTTTCTAAGTCCTCAGGGAAACACACTGAGCTTAGAGTCAAAAGATGTTTAACCCCCCAGATATCCCTAATAGCTATCTTGTCATATATAAAAGCACATCTGAATTTCAACCTTGCTTTATCTTTTAAAAATACATATATATATATTTATTTACTTATCTATTTTTGGCTGTGTCAGGTCTTAGTTGTGGCATGCGGGCTTCTCTCTAGTTGTGGCGTGTGTGGGCTCAGTTGCCCCACAGCATGTGGGATCTTAGTTCCCCGACCAGGGATCAAACCTGAGTCCCCTGCATTGGAAGGCGGATTCTTAACCACTGGACCACCAGGGAAGTCCCCACCTTTGCTTATCTTAATCTCAGTCCCTTCCACCCATTCCACTTGAGTCTTCCATTATGTTTCTGTGCCTCTCTTTCAGGGCGAAGCTAACTTCTCTACACAAGGGTTTTTCTCAGGTCAGATACCATTCTTTAAACAGCATCCTCTGATTTTCAAGTCAATAGTCCTGTGTGGATGAGACTGTTAATTACCTGCCATTGTCCTCACCTTTCTTCTAATAATAGAAGCTTCCAAGTTTTAGCTGGACACCTAGTTACCCAGCCAGAAACTACATTTCCCAGCCTCCCTTCTACCTAAGTGTGATCATGTGATAAGTTCTGGTGAATGACATGGAGCAGATGCGCTATTTACAATGTCCAAGTCACATCTTTTAAAAAAGAAAGCTGCTTGCCTTTCACTTACTCCCTCTCTACATTCCTGTTGGTTAGATAATGATGACAGTGAGAAGAGTCTCCTTGTACCTGGAGGAGGAAGCCACATGTTAAAAGAGAACAGAGATTATCTACTGGTCCAAAAATAGAATGGATATATTATATATAAGATAATAAGGCTGACCTACTGGCCTGAGTCCCTGCATGACATCGTGGAATCCAGCTGCCTGACCATCGGATACCTACCTGCCTACATCTGGGCAAGACCAAAAGTCAGTAAACTATTTCTGTAAAGGATCAAATGGTAAATATTTTAGGCTTTGCAGGCCATTCAGTCTCTGTTGCAAATACTCAACTCACTCTTGCATGAGAAAGCGGCAATAGACAATATATAAATGAATGGGGGTGGCTGTGTTCCAATTAAACTACAAAAACAGGTGGCAGGTGGGATTTGGACCATGGACCATGGTTTAATGACCCCCAATCCAGACTGTCAAGAGATAGAGAAACAAAGTAATATTTTATTTGAATCACTGCACTTTGAGGTCTTTTTGTTCCAATAACTTAGCCTCAACCAATACACCCTGTCATCTTCCAAAACTTTGCCTCAAAGCCCACCTCTTCCAGGAGGTCACAGGGTTCCCTAGGAGCCTGGCGGGGGAAGCATTCCAGACTCCAATTCTTGTAAAACTTCAAATAGGAAGGAAATTGTTGGAATCTCTCAGATAACTCAGCAACAATCACCTGTTGACTGCCACCTGCAGGCCCTGGTGCTCAGTTTTCTCTGCTCCCGTGCCAAAACACCCTCGATGCCACGCAGCCAACAGCACTCTCAGCACCTGCTTTTCAAACTAAGGAATTACAACTTACCTCTGGCATAAAAAAAGGGTCATTTTGGAGAAGGAGCACGGCTAATTCCTCTTTGTTCAGTCCAGAGAGTGCATGATTTTTCAGGACCTTGAAGTTATCTTCTGAGAGAACATCGTGAGAATATTTGCATAAATTCCTGGAAATAAATGACAATGGTCAGTGTTTCCACTTCACAGAAAGTAAAGAAAAAGCAATCATCCAGGGAACTTTCAATGAAAATCAATGCCCATATCCTTTGGTAACTAATACAGGTTGGTCCTGGTTCAAGAGTACACTTTAAAAATATAAATTGATGAAACACCTAGATGGGAAAAGGGAATATGAGGATTTTTTCCACAAATTATACACTTGTACACTTTATTTATTTATGTATTCATTTTTGGCTGCATTGGGTCTTCGTTGCTGCCCACAGGCCCTCTCTAGTTGCGGCGAGCAGGGGCTACTCTTTGTTGCGGTGCACAGGCTTCTCATTGCAGTGGCTTCTCTTGTTGCGGAGCACAGGCTCTAGGTGCACAGGTTTCAATAGTTGTGGTGCGTAGGCTTCAGTGGTTGTGGCGCACGGGCTCTAGAGCACAGGCTCAGTAATGTGGCACATGGGCTTAGTTGCTCCGCGGCATGTGGGATCTTCCCCAGCCAGGGCTTGAACCTGTGTCCCCTGCATTGGCAGGTGGATTCCCAACCACTGTGCCACCAGGGAAGCCCCACACATGTATACTTTAAATTATTTCAATACTTCTTCAAACAATGTCTCCTCTAGTATACATTAATAATGTAGGACGAGGAAAAAAATGGCAAAGAAAGTGATACAAATGTAGTGGAAATGACTGCCCATTGAGAGACAAAGAATAATTAGGACAACACATCTATGGATTGACAATAAAATCAATGTGAAAAGAGAATTCCATTGAACAGACTAAATTAGATGAAAGTGTTCCTTGCTTTCTCTCTTCTATGCCTTACATACCAATGTATATACCTATATGATTTGTGACTACAAAGGAATGGAACAAGCTCATAATTGTACATTTCAAACAACTCTACAAAGAAAGAGATAAAAACCCTCTCCACTTTAAGACTGATGATGTAGGTCTGATAGTACTTTCTATGATGATGGAATTGTTCTATAATCTGAGCTTCCTAAAATGTAAGCCATACATGACTAATGAACACTTGAAATATAGGTAATAAGACTTAAGAAACTAAATTTTCTATTTTACTTTAATTAATTTAAATTTGAATAGCCACACATGACTAGTGGCTACCATACTGCATGGCAGAGATTTAAATCTTTGCTATTCAAAATGTGGCGGGAGAATCAGCAGCTTCACCATTATCTGGGAGCTTGTCACAAATTTAGAATGTCAGGCCCCACCCAAGTTCTACTGAATCAAAATCCATCTTTCAACAAGATCCCCAAATGATTTAATCACACTGAAGTCCCACAAGCACTGACTTAGACCATTGAGAAACTCAGACAGTACCGATGTTTTCATTAGACAAACATAATGTGACAGTTATCAATGTTCAGCTAACAAACTCGTTCGACTTCTTAACTTACATACGCTCCCTGTGATATCGCCAATGTCCTCAGATTTATGGTTTTAACAGTTGCTAATATGATGGGATCTTAATAGTTTCTGGTTTGCTCAACCATTATCAAATTGTCAGGAGGTTAGGTAATGGCCAGATTTTCACTACATTACAACCTTTGTACAAACAACCTTTCTTCTTTTACATTATTTCTTGAGACTTATTCCTTTGAGAGTATTGCCTCAAAGGACACAATCAGTTTCCCTGAGGTTTCTGTTTCATTTTGATCTCCTGCTCTCCAGAAAACATACCAGCAATCTGAGAGCGTGTCTATTTCCCCGCCAGCACATTAACATAGAGTTTTATCACTTTTGCTCCTTCAGTAAGTAGGAAATAGACTTATGGGGGACTTCCCTAGTGGTCAAGCAGTTAAGACTCCGTGTTCCCAATGCAGGGGCCCCAGGTTCGATCCCTGGTCAGGGAACTAGATCCCGCATGCCACAAGGTGCAGCCAAAAAAAAAAGGAAAATTAAAGAAATAAGACTTATGCTTTTAATTTGCACTTTAATTATTAGCAAGACTGAAATATTCCCAAATGTAGGCTTGATGCTTGCATTTCCTCTTACTTACAGTATTTGTTCATATCTTTTAACTGTTTATCTGGTGGAGGAGCACTAACCTACAGATGTATAACTGTTCTTTATATTTTTTAATACTAATCTTTACCAGCCTTGTGTATTTCAAATAGTTTTGCATTTTTCCCTTTTGATCAAGAACTTATTAAGGTTGTTGTTGTTCAACAATCTGATTGCTGTTCTATACAATCATATCCTTCCAATTCGCCATTCATAATTTAGCCCACTGTTTTAATACTTGAGAAATTAATTCCTCCACCACAGCTAGATAACTATACCATTTTGTTTCACCTTTAAAAGAGAGATTTTCAACTTTAATTCTTTAAAATATCTGGAGCTTATTTTGACAACCAGCATCAGAGAAGGACAGAAGTGCTTTATATCAACTTTTCTCAATAACATCTATTAAATTGGACTCCTTTCTTACTATTTTGTTATAGAGGACTATAGTTTGTTAACTTTTTAGCAAATTTAGAACTATTGGAATCCTTATTATGTTTTTATCAATCTACGGTTCTACTTTGAATCCAATACCATACATCTGAAATATCCTTTGCACTGTATTTTAAATATTAACAGAATAATTTATCCTATTATTGGCTTATTCCTTTCCAAAAATCTCTTTAGTGTGCTTAACTATTATTTCCTCTATAGAAATTTTATTCTGGCTTTGTCACTTTCCACAAAAGATCATACTGAGAATCTAATTTGTGTTAACACCATATATTAGATTGGATATTATGTCATCTCAACTACATTAAATCTTCTGATTCTGGAACAGAAAATATCTCTCCATTTATTCAAGTCTTATTCTATTTTTCTTACTGAGAATTAAAATCTTTCTTTTAATAGTTCTCTCATTTCCCAAATATTAAACATGAATCAGTTGCCACTATTATGTTTTAGTTGTTTGTCACTAGTAAACAGAAATGCGAATGACTGCAAAATTATCTTATTGAAATTGACAATGATTTTTTAAATGTAAACATCTACATAAAAGTTATTCTCTAAGAATTAATCTTTTAAAAGCCACTATTCAAATAGTGACTTTTAATAGTCCCACACTATTCACGCTGTCTGCGTGTAAGGCATTTCTGAAGCACTCTAGAATTGCCTTCTTATCTAGCCGTGGAACCTCATGAGAAAAATCAGAATCAACAACCATGGCAGCCACTGTCCAAGCCCTTAAAACCCAGCCAGCGCTCCCCACGCACCCTGCTTCATGCACAATTCAAGGGCAGTTGGTCAGGCTCTGGCAACAGCCTGTATCTTAGCCGTTTCTCAGGCGTGCTCTCTCCTGGCTTTCTCTACCAGGAGTTCCGGCTTCTAGTGTGTGTCTGGCACTCCTTGATAAAGCTGACCTCAGCTCTCCACTTGCTCTTGGGGTCTGTGCTTTCAGATAACTGCTCCCCAGCAGCCACCACGACCCAGAGCCCTCAGCAGCTGGGCTGGGACTCCACCTTATCACTCCTCCAACCACCACGGGAGGGGCGATCTGTGAAGAGGCTCTACAGCAGGAAGGGGACCAGCCTCCTGCCCAAAGCAGGAAATCCCTCCATTAGAGCTTTACCAGATACGTGCGAGCTTCATTACCTCACAAGGCATCTCACTCCACCGGGTACTGACGTTAAGGATCCTCTTGATACGGAACAGAAAATGACCTTGTTGAAACACCCTGCTGCTAGGCAGGTTCTACCCTCTGGCTCGGAGATATCTGACAACTGGGAGGAATTCAGAACCTTTCTTCCCTTTGAGCTCCAGTCCAAGACATTGTGATCACAGAGCCAAGACTGGTACCTCTCCTGTGGCCAGATTAGGGTCACAGATGAGGACCCAGTCCCTCTCCAGGTCCCAGCAAGATACAGTGTCGGTCATATCTGTCCTGTGCCTGCTCTGTCCTAGCCAAGGAGCAGTGGGGCACTTCCAAGGTCCTGGAAGTCAACATTTCCTCTAAATAACTGAAGGCAGCCAGACAAGTCTAATAAGAACCCCTCTGCCTGGAGCCCTGAGTGTCCAGGCTTTGCCATCCTCACCCAAGACACTCATGCCTGTAGGAAGAGCCCGCCCAGCACACGCTGCACTGGCTGGGTCCCTGACGTTGCCCATCCGAGGGCCCAGATCGCTTTTCATTTCTAATCTCCATCCTCAGGCAAACTGCTCGTTCCTCTAGATTCCATAATACTCACCTTGAACTCAGCATGTCATATCTAGCCTTGAGTTCTGACCTGCAGCCTGTCCCTCGGAGGCCCTGCTCAGTTTTCCCACATCCCCTAGACTTTTCCAAACTTGTTAGAGGCTTTACCTCCACCCTAATTTCAACATATTGTTCAGGGTGGGGCAGTTTGTGCTCACCTATTTGGGGAGTAAGACCAGAAATATAGACACTAACATTTATTACATATTTACTAAGTGACAGGAACTTGCATCTGTTATTTATAACCTACGAGGAAACAGTTTACTTTTTACTTTGGGAAACTGAGGCTGGGTAAAATGAGAAATCAAAGGTGACTCAAATAAGAGGAAGAGCTGATAATTGAACCCAGATCTCAAAAAGCAAATAAAAACATCATCTGGGGCTTCCCTGGTGGCGCAGTGGTTGAAAGCCCGCCTGCCGATGCAGGGGACATGGTCTCGTTCTCCAGTCCGGGAAGATGCCACATGCCGCGGAGCGGCTGGGCCCGTGAGTCATGGCCGCTGAGCCTGTGCGTCCGGAGCCTGTGCTGCGCAACGGGAGAGGCCACAGCAGTGAGAGGCCCGCGTACCACAAAAAAAAACAAAAAAAACAAAACATCATCTGGAAAAAAGAACAAAAAACAGACATGTCTGAAATTTTTCCAAACCAGAAAGAAAGGGGAAAAAAAGCCATTCTGGATCATTCAAACTACTGTTCCCTAGCACTAAGTAGAAAATTGAGAGTAGGGTATGAGGAGAGAGAATGCATATAAATCACATATACGGTGTAGAAGGGACA